GAGCTGTGGGAAGCGGCATGGGTCCCGCTATCGAGTCCATGGTGTGTTCTCCTGGGCCTCGCTTCATGTCTGGCGGCACAGCATTCCTGCAGCTCTTGCTAGCACTTAGGGCTCAGGCGTTGGCCTCAGTCTGCCTCTCACGGCTCTTGTCTATGCCTGGATCATCCTCTCATTAGCATATTTTAGTATACTGGACCTAAGCTGCTGCGTAGTGCCCCGCAAATTGCTTTTTTCAGATGTAATGAGAAAGCCTGTGTTTTCAATTCAATTCAATTCAATAAGCTTTATTGGCATGACCATATTCAGTTACAGTTTTGCCAAAGCATCATCAAAAAGGAACAAGAAAAATGAACATTTAGAACAGAGTGTATGAACTCTTAATTTCATTTGATGTAAAAATAATTATGAGAGAATCACGTAAAAGAACAGTAAAATAGTCATTTGGAATTAAGTTGTAAAGAAAATTAAGAGGAAAAATAAATAAATAATAGAAATTTAAATAGATACATAAAGATTACAAACAGGGCAGTTTTGAATACTGTGTGTGTGTGTGTGTCTGTGTTTCTGTGTGTGTGTGTGTGTGTGTGTGTGTGTGTGTGTGTGTTTGGGTGGGTCACTCACTGTCCCTCATATTGTGGCAGGCTGATATATGTTGTGCTGCTAAGGCGCGGCTCTCTCTCCTCTCGCCTAGCAGGATGGGCAGCTTCTCATTATTACTGAGGCGGCTAAATTGGGGGTGAATCTTTTCAAGTTTAGTAAAATAAATTTTCTGTTTTCAATAGAAAAATGTGAACCTGCGCAATAGTAACATATTTGATACTAATAGTAGTTTATATAACTTTAATAAGCCATTCAAGGGCAGTTAATCATTTAGAAAAACCCTCATTTTTGTGCAGGGGATCTTTAAACAATTTATTGACCTGAAACGATATACTTCATTGTTATGCATGCACACGCTCACATAAATATCTACACTTAAACAGAATCTGGATTATGTAGAATCCAGAAAAGTTTACATTTTTCTCTGCAAACTATGAGTAAAAATACTCATTCCCTGAAAGCTAACATAAGTGGTAATAGCGTTAGTGTTGGCTTCCTAATTTGTTTCCTTTACTAAGAAATAATTCTAAAAAATAGCAATTGATGGTGACAGTGGCCACTCGGACTACTACCAGCAAGGCGCGCAGCTTTAGTCCCAGCACCCGAGTGCTGGACATGTAAGACTGCAAAGCTGAAAAATGGTTGACTGAAGCACAAATGATAGCAGCTGATTTGTTACAGGGGTTGGGACAGAGGCTCTGCACTCTTTTTCCACAGCAAGAGAATGCATGCGGAGCACTGCAGAATTCCATTTTGATGGAGCCATAACGGAATGTTTAAACAAAAACATGTTTACTTTTGTTTGTAAATGCTGAGTTAGTGTCTCCTTGGTAACAGAACAATGCTGTCTTTCTGTTTTATTATTACTTTCTATCACTTGGTCAGTGGTGTACCCACAGGTTTTCTAACATAGCAAGGAAAATTAAATTCGTAATAATTTTAATAACTGTGGTATTTACAAAAGATTTTACACTGTTTAAGGTAAATTTTGGTTTAATTAGATAATGGAAAAATATGAAATTGTGTACGTTAACTTGAAGCATTGTTGGACAAAGTAAAGAAATCCAATCCAAATCCTTGAGTGTAAGTAGAGATCCTACTTTATTTTATCCTTGGTAAAATATTACTTGAGTAAAAACACAAGTGCTCGATTTCAAATTTTACATGAGCTATAGTTCAAAATTGTTTGCTTGTAAATATACTTAAGTATCAAAAGTCAAAGTATTGTGAGATATTCTAACAATCTAATATTTCTCCTCTCGTGTCCTCAGTTTAGGAAGTGGGTAAGAGTTCACTCCTCATCCAGACTCTATCTGATTTAAAGATAGTACACACAATGTTACGACATTTTCTTAAGGGCTTGGCAGAGGTGCCCAGGCCTGGTGACAGTTGCTAAACTACAATGGGGCATTTGGTATAAAAGGGAGAGATTTAGTAAAAGGTGAAGTTACATCATATTCCTTCCTATATTATAAAATATCTAGTTTTTATTTCACAGTATCTTGCAGAAAGTAGTGTAGTAGGATATTTTACTGTGAAATGTAATGGAGTGAAAGTAAACATCTAAAAAATATATACTTGAACAAAGTACTTTAGTACAACAAAGAAGTAAATTTATTTCATTACTGCCCACCACTGCCTTAAAAAAAAGTACCATTATGAAATCTAACAAGGGCATGTTTTGATATTGGTGACACTGACATGGTAGTGTATACAGCTGGCCAATTCTTGAATTCTTACATGAATCAGCCACACTGCTACATTGAGAGTGGCCTGTTATCCAAAAATATCCAGCCAAGAGCAATTCTGTGGTAAGATGAGGGACTAGGGCAATTTCTCTTAAAACTACACCAAATGAATCCTTACACAGTACTGTAAACATGAACCAGAAACTACATTTCCACAAAGGAAACTTATTGAAGAAAGTTATATCTTTTGTATACTAAATTCACTAAAAATCTTTTTGTTCTATGACACCAATATAGACAAAATATTATCCAAGCAGTAAATGAGTGCATTCAACACAATGCTGCAATGAACAAACGAAATCACACAACTGAATATAATATGGGTTTTATTCCTTTTACATCATCACAATTGTCTAGGGTCTTTGGTGTTCCCCCAGAACACACTGATGACTACACGCTCCATTTGTGGCTTCTAAAGTAGAAAATTATGTAAATTAGTTTCAAAGAAACAAAAATGAAAAAAGACACTTCTTGTAAGTTTATGTAGAGGCAGCAGACAGAGTGACAGAGAAAGCCAAGTGAAGAATTTTGTCAGCATGCGGAGGTGCTTGTCCTGCAGTCACACATGCTGACTTGGCTCCGAGAGAAGCAGTGTTTAAGCTGTGAAGGAGAGAGTTTACACTAAGAACCTGCACAGACGGATGAACATATGTGGATATTTTTGCTGATAATCAGTCGGGGGTAGAAAACGACAGTCAAAGTCAGGATTAAACAATTTATATTGAGTGTGCTGTTAATAGACTGTACTCAAACATACTGTACTTCAGTACACACCGTCAGGAAAAAAAGGACCTCTACAAGGTACATTTTAGTTTAAACTGCACTATGTACGTTTTAGGGACATGGAGAATCTCTGATGAAAGTGTGTAAATTGCATGCAACGTATGAAAGAACATTTGGTGAAATCGGTTCTGTTTTGGACTCTTCCCCAAGCAGATGAATTTGGTGTGGGGAGTGCATTGAAAGAAAAATCAAAAGAGAACATGGTCAAAACTGGTGAAGGATGTGTCTTCCGAGAAAGCAAGTGAATTATCTACTATTGTCATCATATCTTCATCAGTATAATGTTGATTTTGCATTTGAGAAGCCTACTGTGACATATTGTGGCTATTTATCACAATGTTGACAATTATTGTCATATTGCCCACCCAAACTGCCATGGAATACAGCACAACTGTGTTTCCTAACTAAAAGTACTGAGGATGCACCCTTGAAGCTACTGCCCCAGTGACAAAGTAGTACCCTTTTTCCTGGGAGTGCAGGGTATCATGCTTTCTAAATGTCTTTGAAACACTGTTATTCTCAGATATACCCTGTGCAGTAATTTGGCCATTTTTCACTGATCAGAACTATGCAATATAAACAACATTTTAGTAGTTTTACTTTGTAGGTCTGTTTAGTCTGCTGGACCATATGTAAGGATGCAGACAGGTACGAGTGTGGAGAGACAAGTGGCCCATTGGGGTTTCTCTCTCTCTCTCACACACACAAATCTCTTGTACATCTCTGCAGATGAGGTGTTTCTGGTCGCTTATGCAAAATGCTTCTGCCGCAAATTGGATTTATTTCACATCGAGCACATTTCCGCTCTTTTCCTTCAGTTCTGAACAGTGGAAAATTATTCTATAATGCATATATAACTGAATAAGACATTTTTAGTCTTCACCAGTGTCACTCACTGAAAGCAAGCTTACACAAAATTGCACAGATCACACTCACAGCTCTGGAAGCAAAAGAAACACAAGACAACTGTCAGGCGTCTGGCTGGAACACAATGGGCTTTAAAACTAGCAGACAGAGGGGGCTACTGACAGAACAGGGTTACACACACACACACCCACAACCCTGACAGACAACTCACAGCATGTGTCGCTTTTCCCATTTAGCCTCTGTCTCTGAAAGTAAGTGTGTGAAAGTGGTCTCTAAAGGAAAGCCCCATCGTGTCCTTGAGCGTCTGACAGTCAGTCAGTGTAAACATTGTTTTTAATCGATTTCAAAGTCCCTTGTGCCCCAACAGACTTAATTTTGAAGAATTTAAAGAAGGATCAGAACAAGGATGGCAGCAGGGCCAAGCATGGTTGGTTGAAGGAACGATGCACCGGCTGAAGAAGCCCCAGTAAGGATAACTATTGTAGCAACACACAGCCACCCACAGATGCTGGTTGTGCGTTAATTTGTAGCCAGCAACATGCACAAATAAGGACTCTGGGTCTAAGCCATTTTAGTCTATAGAAAAAATTAACGTTTTCAAAAACTGTCACTGTGTTGAACAGAAATGTTCCAAAGCAAGCATGTTTTCTCCTATAGATTAGGTGGTCATTAATGGGCCATTAATTCCACCGATTACTGAAAATGTCTGCAGAATTAAATGGTTAAGATGTAAATACTGTCATTCAGAATGGCTTTATAAGAAATGCTCCATTCTAGAAAAACAATTAATTGCACACCACTATTAGCCTTCATGCAGCATATATAGCAATACTCCTATTTCAACAACTTAGCAACTTCGTAATCTAAATGACTGTGATAGTCAGGGATGTGCAGCGCGATGTATGTTGGACAAAATGTAGAACATTGAGATGTTCTAACGAATCAGAGGGTGTTTACACCACACAGATGTGACAGTGGCATGAGCAGGGTCTCGTCCCAGTGCCTGTCTCAAGTCCTCAGTGTCTAAGTGTGTATTTGTTTATTCTGAGCTGATAAGGGATTTGACTCTGCTTTTTAAATGGCCTCATGCCAATAAAAGAAATATCATACAACTCAGAGGAAGTGATCCAGAAAAAGATCTCATACAACATACGCAAGTCCTTTCAAAGAGTCATAACCAACGGCAGTCATGTCCTAGAATTGTCTTCCCTGTCGTCACAACTGACATTCACATACATTCACATCCACCAACTGCATACAACTGCATAAACCCAAAACATTCTGCTCTTCGCTAATACAAGAAGCCTGTAACATCCTAATACATCTACTATTTTCAGCATTCTCAAAGGAATATGTTGACCAAATGTGCTAGCATTGCTAAGAGGGATGAGAAGCTATTGGTCACCAATATGCAGCATGTCATTTGCATAACTGGTGGGCGTTTGCTTTCACTTAATTAGCCAAAAAATTGCATTTTCGGTAATACCTTACTGCAGGTCGGAATAAGAATAAGACTATGTAACACTTACATATGCCTTTTATATCAACTGACATAACCCTACATAAACATTTATGAAGCCTTATTCCAATGAGCATAAGTTGTCATAAAGGCATTTCTCCCCATAAAGTATTATGACAACTGACACTTGTTGAAATAAGACTTTGTCATATATGTCACTTGTCGTGAAAGCTTACATAGGTTTCATGTGGTCCACAGTTAAGTGTTACCACATGTTTTAACCAAACTGTTCCTCTAAAGCATCCCAGAGTTGCAGTGTTGATCTAGAGTGTGTTTTTATGATGTTAACACTCCTACCTTGTGATTCTTTATGACACTGGCTGTTTTAAACATGTGACATACCCTGCTCACGGCACTTACTTACCTTCAACAACTTTCTTTCACGATAAGTCATAAAAATGAAAACCATGGCAGATATAAAAAGAAACATACTTTCACTTAATCAAAATAAATAACATAACAGAAACAAAAGACCTCAAACTAGGCCAATGTGTTTTTGCAACAGAGATCATGGTTTCAATCTGACAATGGATAAAACGCTCTCAAATTTTTAGCTTGATCTTGGGAGCACTTTAATGTCTGTAGCTAAGACAATAATAAGAAACATGACCTATGTGTGAGTGAGTGTCTGTATGTGTGTAATATGTGCTACAGACATGCTGTCTTACAAAAAGGCTGCTGTGTCACCCTGACTGACATGTAAAACTGAACCCTATGTTTTAGAAGACCGTGTTTTATATAGAACTGTGTGTTCTAGATAGCTGTTACACCATGCTGTGTTCTCTGAAAAACACACATATGAGAACAGGATTCAAGTAGGTTTTGGAATGTTCTTAAATCTGTTTTCAGTCAAAAAAACCTGCAAAATCTTTTCAGATGTAGCAAGCAACAATATCCACCTCCATGCCAAGTAAATATACACTCTTAAAAATAATGGTCCCTAAATGGCTTGGATGGATAGTTCTTTTAATTGGTATAGAACAGGGGTGTAACAACACACTCAGTGATTCGATTCGCAATACTGGGTTCACAATTCGGTATCCCCATGAAATTTTGAATAAAATCTAAATGAAACAAAATGATGACTGTATCAATGTTGTTTATAGTGAGACTAGAGTAAAGAACCAGGAAGAGTGCTGGAGTGGGTTGTTGACCGGTGCTATTGTTGTTTGCAAACTTTGGTGTTCATCATTATCACATTTTTGCATCACATTCTCATGATGCATTGTTAAACCCCTAGTATAGAACCTTTAGCATTTCATTTTATAAGGTTTTTCACACTCTCAAATATGGTTCTTTAATAAAAATCTACCGAACTGTTCTTCAGGGAACAGAAAGTTTTCCATTGCATCTCTCTAAAGAGACTATTTTGGCACCTTTATTTTTAAGAGTGTACACTCATAATTCCCTTCTCTCCTTCTCTGTACTTCCTTCCATTTTTTTTCTCATCGGCTACACCGTCTGTCCAGGTCTACCAGTCTTATCTGCCCAGGTTTATCGGCTGTATGCGTTGCCATGAAAACCATGGTTGCCACTGTAGTTGTTGTTATTGTTATTGTTTTCAGGTGAGAGAGATGAAGTGTGGTGCACGGAAGGAGAGAGCATCCTGAGGTCCCCAAGCCCTGCATCTTCTAACAAATCGTCCGTTTCCATGGGAACATGAGAGCTGGGGAAAAGAGGAGACAGCCGTTGAAGGAGAACAGGTCTGGAAGCTGTGTCGGGAACAAGCGTGTCCTGCACTAAGTGTGCAGTTCCACCCTGTGCTGTAGAGGGTGCTGGGGCGCTCTGTGCATAGAGGTGCAGCTGCTGGGTGTGGTTATAAACATGTGAAGATGAACTTGCTGCCTGGACTCGAGTGGGAGCACTGCTGGAACCAGCAGAAGTGAAGGAGGAGGGGCCGGGAAAGGAGCTTGTGCGGGTGCTGGCCTGTGATTCCACCCCGGTCTGTGAGCCACGGTGAATGCGGTGGCTGACGATGATGTCATTGCCAAAGCTGCCCATAGAGGCCATAGTGGTGCTTTGCTCTCTTTGAACCACTGCTGTCATCCCCCCTTCTGCAATGAGCCTCCGGATACGAGACAGAGCGTCTTCCCCCAATGCAAACTCTACCTGTCCATCCCCTACACACAGAGGGAGGGGAAAAGAGAGACAGATGATTAGGAACAGTGACATAGAGGGGTGAGCACTATGACAATAAGATACCAATATCATGATAAATTACATTATCTGCTTTTCTGAGAACATTACAACAGCACATCTACAACACTGTCCTAGCCTGTAAACAACAACCAGTCTTCAGTAATCACATAAACTGCATTGTAAAAAATAACAGATTTTTACTGATTGATTTTTTTCTCCTGTTCCTTCTTAAATAGTTCATATTAGCAATGTTCAACTAAAAAATATACTGTATTTATATTGTAGCTTTTTAAAAATGCGTCACTACTGCTCTACATTTCACTTTGCACTAAATTACAATATGTTCCAACTTGTTTGGAATCCTGTGACAAACGGTGTGACAAACTGTGTATTTTAGAGCCAAGCTGTCAAATTGTGCCATAACTGTCATAATGTGGCAATCAAAATCAGCCTCTATGATAAGGCTAATTTCTGCTAGCACTCTTAAGGAATTTCTAATAGTATTAGGGAGGCTAAGCTGTTAACATTTTATAAAATCTAAATTATTGAAGCTTGTAAAAGAAATTCCTTATGTTTTATTTCAAGCATGTAACAGACATTAACATATATTTTACCTTCTATGTTGCAGTTTTATGCCCTAACATACAGCTGCCTCCACTGCTTTCCATTAAACAATGACTGAAACCTGGTTAGACTACAGCTCAAATTCACAGTGATGTATCTAGACTTCCAGAAGGCCTGAAGTGGCGTTTTTTTCCTCACAGGATTGGCCCCACCCATTGGAAACCAAAACATAAGTGTTTGGTTCCACCGTCACGTCCTCATTTTGTTGGTGGTTAATCTGATGTGTAAAACTTTCTGTCCAGCTCCTGAAGTCATTAACAAAGGAAAAGCTTGCTTGGCTATACCTAGATACAACAGGAATTTCTGGGTGGATTTTAAACTGTTTGTTTTCAACTGAAATTATGAAATAAACATATTACTACAATACTTACAGATTTTAAATACAGGGAGCATGATAATTCTTAAATTATTCAATTATTAATGTTACTTATTTAGGCTTTCTCTAGAAAACTCTTAGGGTTCCCCACTGTTACAAACTTCAGAAAACTAAAAAGGCCTTGTTATTATATTTTTGTCATTTCACCCATCCTTAGCGACATTGTGTTGCATTCTGTGCGAACATAAACTGGATGTCACTCGTGAGGTAAAGTCATCCTTAGTGTGACCTTACTCTATCAGCACAGTGCACAGCCATCAGATGCAGAAAACATTAGACCATCCAATCACACTAGTTACACAGGATGAGGCAGACATACACACAAACACAAAATGAGAGAAACTGCCCTTTTCCCATGCAAATGCAGAAATGACATCAGAAAAGAGAATGTTTGCAGTCACTCTCGTGCTCCTCTGTGACCCAGCATGAATGCAAATGTCTGTCAAAATTTCGTCGAAATCCCGGAGGAAACACACCTAGAGGAGCACAGTCTGTTCGTGCTGCTGTTGTGTGTCTTCTTCTAATACACTTTATAGCCCAGATGAAATTTATACCACACTCTAAATTTAGTTTGTATGCTATAGTTTCTCCGGTTGAATGGAAATTTTGCCAACATTTTAGAAAGGTAATATAAGCTCTTTCTACAAAAAGGTAATATAAACTCTTTCTACAAAAAGATGCATTTGTAGGTGGATAATGGATAGGTCAATGAAACTTTCCTCCAACTGGCGATACACATGCTTGTGTTTGATGAAAGTAGTATAGAGAAATTATGAACATGCAGGAAGTTGTAAAGCAAAAAAACTTTTTTATTTACTATTGTTTTATCATTATCATTAGAAATAAAAAACTCAAAAGATGTATGCTCACTGGTCACTTTAGATAGCAAATAAAATGTCAATATTTGTATTGTAGACATCACAGGGTGAGTTTCTTTTACAAAGCACCATTTCTCATCAAACCACTCTGAAGGCTTTGTTTACATCTCAATAGCTGTATTGTGCAAAAAAAAGGTGAAAAAAATGGTGGAATTTTCCATTTTCAAAATAAAGGTGCCAAAAAAGGTTTTTTGAAGCAATACCACAGAAGAACAACTGTTGGTTCCCTAAAACCTTTTAGCTGAGTAGTTCCAACTGAGGATTTTTAAAGAACCATGCTTTGGAAGGTTCTTCACAGAACCAAATGTGGTTCTTCTATGGTATCACTCTAAAGAACCCTTTTTGCTGGCTTTGTTTAAAAGAGTGAGTCTGAATAATCATTTCCATATTTAAATGCTGGCATCTGGAACAGTTAACTAAGTATTCATTTAGCCCTGCACATCCCTACCAAACACACTATCCTTACTTGCAGTGTTTTACAGGCAGCATGCTTCTAGTTCCTCCAGTGCTGAAGCTCCTGGAGGTTCAATCATCTGACTGACAGATTCCTGTACTTCAGTAACTGAGGTTTTCAACACGTTTTAGCTACCAAAGTTGCAGATGGTCTTCAACCAGTCTGTATTTGTGCTCTGAGCTCGTTCATGTTGATCGTTGCGCAATGTCCCACTGGAACATAAACACATGATAATGGAAGGGGTGTTGTGAGACAATCTGCTCTGAGCTGAAGACAGAGCGGCCTGTAGTGCAAAGAACGTATGTGTGTTTATTGATTAGCACTGTAGCAGAGTTTGATGGACAGTATGGGGGCTCAGTAACTGCACAGTGTTTTTTTCTTGTGTGAACACATGCTGAATGGCTTTAATCTAAGACGAGGAAAGAAAATAATTAAGGCTTTCTAATTAACAGCCTCTACATGTTTGATCTTCTTGAAAGAGTGTTTGACTGTGTATGCTGCTTTGGACCAAACGCTGTATGTGTGTGTGTGTGTGAGAGAAAAAGAGAGTTTTAGGATTACAAATGCTTGCATCAGAACTAGAGCCTCTTTCTAAATTCAGTATTTTGTTAATGGAAGTTAAGAATTATACTATCTTCAATCATATTACCCAATCAGATCTAGTACTATTGGCACCAATGCCAAAAGATGAAGACAGAAGCTTTACAAAACAGCCAACACCTAACTAGAACTTGTCACAGCCTCCTCTGACAAAGAAAGTCGCACTAAGTCTATTTCCCTTTAATGTTCAGCAAGGCTTTAGAAAACATCAAAAGAAAGCTTGGGCCATGGACAAGGGCCCTAGGAGCTGTGGCAACATAAAAGTCCCAGAATAACAACCCACTAATGTATATCAGGCTGATACACACAATGATGTCTTGATCATGCACCTCTCATCTAATGCCAAAATGTATGTATTATGTATCATGAATGGAAGGTGATACAGTGATCTGATTACAGCAAGCAACCAAATATGACAGACCCCCAGCTGTAAACCTCACCATTTCTAGATCCCACGCCATCTTTCTGTGTTCATGGATCTAAGATGCTTTGGTTCTGCTTACAGTGGTTTTGGCACTACAAACCACTGTTTTGCATCCACTGTTGGAATCTTTTGTATTAGATTCAGGGAATTGCAAGCATGGACAGATGTACAGTTGTGCTTCACAGTACACAGACTTCTTGTGAATTGATAAACACATTACACACCAACCTACAAACAAACTCTTTGGTTGTTGATTGATTGCCCTTGGCCCTTGTCCATGGCCCAAGATTTCTTCTGATGTTTTCTAAAGTTAATGTCAGGTGTGTGTGTGTGTGTGTGTGTGTGTGTGTGTGCGCGTGTGCTCTGCTGTAAGTACGCTGGCGCAGTATGGCTACCGCTTTACATCGGTTAGTTTTGTATTGTTTGTGTTTGTTTTGATGTTTGCCTGAGAAGTTTGCCATCATATCCACCGAGATAGCGGCCGAGAGTGACTTTCCAGCTGTGGCTCAGAGGCTTATTGGACTGGCTGTTTGGGTGACACTACATCTCAGCTATTATGCAGCCTGGACCGGCCGCTTGAGTGACACTGCATCGCGGCTACGGGGCTCTCTGGACTGGGGACCTGATCGGTGTGACATTACAGCCTGGGCCGGCTGCTTGGTTGACGCTGCATTGCAGCTGTGGGGCTGCCTGGACCGGCAGTGTTCGGCTGCATGAGCAGCGCTACGCCGTGGCTACAAGGCATCTTGGGTCGGCCGCTTGGGTGACGCTGCATTGCAGCTATGAGGCTTCCTGGACTGGTGGTGTTCGGCTGCAGGAAAATGCTCCCCCTTCGTGGTGAAAGACATCTTCGGCTTTCGAGGCTTCCCGGGCCGGCCGCCTGTGTGACCCACTGTAGTTGCGGTGCAAGATTTTCCCAGCCGCTAAGGACTCTTTCCAGGCTAGCTAAGTGACTCTATAATGTGGTCAGTGAAATTCCCTCCGCTAGCTGTGGGAACCGTGGAGTGTGTGTGTGTTCTGTGTTATGTACTGTTTATTATGTATTGATTGTAAAGCGTCCTTGAGCACGGGAAAGGCGCTATATAAATAAAAGTGATGATGATGATGATTTGTCAGTCCTTACCTGTTATTCGCCTGTACTCTAAATCACACAATAACCACCAATCTGGATGGATGTGGCAAAACTGAAAGACAGCTGAACACACTCTTTGGCCAATTCTGTATACAAGACCTTGACCCCCATGACTGACCAGCCCTACTTTGTGTAGACAGCAAAACTAAGCCATGATTTGACTGAATTTACTGCTCACTTCACTATTTTTGTCACTGGTTATTTGTTGATTCGATGACCCTTTAAAGTACTCCACCAACACCATTATAAATACATTGCTGTGACTGTATTATTGTTGCTGGTCTGATGTAGAAATCATGCAGTGAACTCTGTCAATGGCAAGTGAAATGCTTCTATTTATCTTTTTTTTTATCTGATGAAAACAGGAAAACAAAGAAGGCCACAAAATGGCTTTAATATTAGCTAAACTTACACAAAATGTGATCTTTAATTTTGTTTCATTTTATTTAAAACAAGCTTTAGGCCACCTAATACAATTTTTGTGCTCATACATAGTAAAGGTGTGAAAATCTGGCCCAACTATTTAAGAACTCTGAAACCTGAAATCTCCACCAAATCTCAAGAATCTTCATTCCTAGATGAGCCACTATGACACTCATAATTATACTTTAATGGAATCAGTGCTTTTGCATGTGTTTGTGTGTGTAAGGTGTGCCCACGAATCACATACCAGTCATGGTGCCAGGCTCTGGAGTTGGCTCTGGCTCGTCTTCTTGAGGTCGGATGTAGGGTGGAGTCTCAGGTACAACCTCAGAAGCTAATTCATCAGCCACATCCAGATCTACAGTGTCTAAAGAGAACCATAGGAGGGACACTGTTACTCACTACTAAACATGAAGCACTGATAGTTAGAAGCTGTTTCATAGTTTAGGTTTACATCCATAAAGAGACTGACTGGTCCATTTATCTGGTAAAATACTGTACCCAGAAGAGCTCTCAAAACTTTGATGAAATGTAAAGAGAACTACAGCTATACCACTGGCTACATAAATGGTTTTAATAGTTTAGCTTGTGTCAGTAGAATTCACACTAGTTATGTAATGAGACAGAACTCAGTCATCCAACTTGACTGATATCTTCAAAAAGCAGTGTGTTTACTGTCTTGCAAACATTCTGTTTTACTGGCAGTGGTGCCACATACCTTTTCTGGTTTAAAACTGATATGTACCAGTTGGTTGAAAACCAAGAAGAAGAAGCAGTCTACTACACTCAGAGCAGTATGAAACCACAATGTTTTGACAACCCCATAAAATGTATTTCACATACAAAGTATGAAGTAGTACCAAAGCCATACCTGCAGGAGTCCTGTGGGACCCAACACAAAATCTTGCAGCACGGGTAACACACATATGTAGAGAAATACTGTAAATTAATGAGTAGCCAAAAAAAAAACAGCAAAATGACAAAAGGTAATAAACTAATTCTAAACAGAAGTTCTTAGGAAATAAAAGCAACTGATCATGCGGACAATGTAAATCACAAAATTACAGCGGAGCCTTCAGACAGTCACAGCAGTGGAAAGTGCTATTAATTAAGGCAAATACACAACAAAAAAGCTGACAAAAGGGATGCCTGACATATGAAAGTAATTTTCAATTGTGACTAATGCAGAATGAAACCAGTTATAGAAGTCTGCGGGCGGTAGTCAGACAAAACAAACACAAAGGGTGTACTTTTTTGGGAGGAACGGGAAAAAATCTTGCGGGAGTTGGACTAAAAAACAATTCATCCTGTTTAGACCTCTAGTTAAGAGTGTATCCCAATAGGCACATATCAAAAATTAAGTAATTTACTGCAGCATTTTAAAGTAATAGGGAGTCAAATCATCAGGGAGGTCAAAAAAGTTTAAACATAATCATTACTAAACACACTATAAAACAGTCATTTTACAAATATCAGATCATTTGGGTCAAAGGTACTTAGATCAAATGGGGGAGTAAAAAAGCTGAGGACAACCTTATTTTTAACATATATTTTAATGCTTTGAAATGTTTCAAATTTTCTGTGTTATGTTCCTCCACTATTGGGAAGGATGATTGAGATAAATCTAACGCCTGTACACAGCAACTGCACAGAGCCTGCAACCCACTGACATCAATGGTTTCCCATGATGTTTTTAGCTCAGAGAAGCCTTTCAGCTCTTATTTGTGTTGAGTTTTTTTTGGTCTGTTTTTTTTTGACTGTGGTCTTCTCTGCAATTGAAATGCACATTTAATTGGACATATATTTCAAAACTGACTCACAGAATCCAAGACTTTTTACTTTTTCCCCTTGAGTCCTTGCCAGTGCGTTTAGTGTCTTTTTGCACAATGAGCAAAAATACCATTGCTCAGACATATTCAAATAAATGGGCATACAGTTTGTTTCCAACTACAGTTCTAAAAACACTGCACTCTGGCCATCTTTAATTATGTCAACATAAAAAAATCATTTTGAACTTTGGGTGTCCTTTATCAAGTCTGCTTAAATCTTTGCATTCCAAGGTTTGATAGTTACCGTGATGTTTATTTTTGACAGCTCTAGCTGTTGCTCAGATATTCTGACAATTTCTGTACTTTAGTTTTGTTTGCATCCATTTCTGCTACATTTTGGATACTTTCTACTGCTTTGTGATTCATTTGTATGTGCAGATAACCCTCATGCAGTGATGATATCCTGCCTTCCATAAGCCCACCTGGATGCTCCATCAATTTAACATACTATAATTATCCCCCTCATTAACTTCTAACCTCTTAACCGGGCATGTATTCTTTCTGAACTCTTAACCTAGCATGCACTCACATTTCTTTATACTCTCTAACATAATTAGTAATCCCCTTAAGCCTTTAACAAACTTTTAACACTGAGTACTGGCTTTATCTAAGAGAACTTTGTCCTGTATTATCTGTGTATATTTAACCCGTCTAGGCAAATTTACAGAATAGTTTTTCCTAGTTTTCTAACAAGGGATGCAGGAATTTTTAAGGCCAATTCCAATTTCAGTACAGCCAAACTAGCCAATATTGGCATCTGAAATGTGCTATTTTAAATGAAAAGACAGAATCTAATAAAGACAGAATCAAATAAAGTGCTACATTGAAAAAAAGAGGGAACTGGGTATTTGTCACAATGACTGATGCATAATTATGCTGCAGAATTTTGTTATAGGTGTAGCAGCAGCCTTCATACATAGTGCGAGTGCACTTAAATGGCTGATGATACTTACCTCATAATGTTACAACACACATTGACCAAAACAAAAATAATGAATTGTCCTGTTGCCAATCATGTGCTTAGAGCAAAAGTCTGCCAATTCTGATCTTGGCCTATTCTGACCAAACACCTTTATTTTAGAAAATAACTGAAAACCTTGACTCAACACTTACAAAACTTATAATACAACACAATATAAATGTATAACAGAAGCTAGTGGACAGGGGCTAAATTCTGTAAAATACATGATTAAGTAATGCAAATTTGATAAGACAAATATTACAGTCTAACAATACAGGTCTTTGTGTGAGACAGACATGAGAGAATGTCTCAGCTACGCTGCTCTCATGAAGTTTTATTCTCTCTAAAACACTGGATCATCTAATTCTGGTCACTTTTACATTCCCATATCCATGTGCAATTAGGCAGGAGCCTGTGAAAACTGATCAAACCACTATGTTGATAACAACTTACCACACATGCATCAAAAATCCCTCTGGAAAACTGACCCCATCTCTACAAGAAGTGTTCAACTAATGATTTCAGGGTAAGTGCTAGTGGAGAAGTTAAGATATTAATATATCAATACATGTTATTATATGATCTTTCACATAAAGTCTGAAACTGATGGGCAGTGATCCTGTCTGAAATTTTGAATTGAAGCCAGTTTGATTTTCTGTGTTGTATGGATACATTAAAAATCAGGTTGACCAATCAGAGCTCCGTTGTCATGGTTGCAGGGCAAAAAAAATGGAAGCAGGACAGCTCGGCTTGCTTGGGACAGAGCATAAACACTTCTATAACATGCTGACTGCAAAAATGTGGAGGTTAAAGAAAGTGCACCATAGTTGAAAGGCTAGGGAATTACTGTGAGAACCTTAGTACCACACAGCAACTGTTTGTAGCCCATTTTTTGGTGCATCATAGGCTGTTCAAGCTCGGTCTTAATAGCACGCACTCACTGTGTGTGCCCTTTTGTTGCAGTGTTTAAAAGAAAAACAATAAACATTAACAATAACAATTAAACAATAAATTCATCAATGCAAGTTTTTCCTATGTCTTCCATTTTCTTCCTGAGTTTAAAGAATGTTTTTTAAAAAAAAAAAAAAATTACATTTGGTGTGAAGTTTTCACAACTTTAAAAATTGCATCTGTTTTTGTTATCTGGAAAAATGCACTGTGTTTTTAGGTCTTTAGGGGATTCTTCCTGTCACTGTTGCCCTCAGCCTGGTCATCATGGGTCATTACTGTTCTGAATTTCTATAAAGCTGCTTTGTTTTAGGAAGATTTCTAAGCTATTTTAAGCAGATTTATATGCATTAATGTTGTCAAAACAGACAAGCTTTATAAAGTCTCTGGGTTGTAGGCACATTGTAGCTTTTAATCTTTGTTTAACCCAGGTATGCACTAATAAAAAACTTTTTTTCACCAATTGTAGACGCCACTGTGTAGTATCTACACAACATATAGCATCTGATTCTGTCACAGTGCATACACACTCAGGTGACAGTATCTCTCATATGTTCTTTCTCTTTTTCAAGCGCACACAAACACACTGCAAACACATGCACAGAGGCAGATCAGCATTGACAAGCACCAAGTATCCTACTACACAAACTACTCACATAATCACTGCTTCTTTTTTTAAGATGTCTGCCCATTTAGATCACTCACATGAATATTAACTTATTTTGTTTAATTGCTGACCCAAAACAAAAGACCGTAAACAGAGAACGTAAATATCTGATGGCTAGCTTAGCCGTGAGAAAGCAGAGCTTCTTAAACTTGATAGAGATACAGGCAGGGCTCATACTGCAAATGCCACGGATGTGTTTTATTGAGGTTACTGACAAAAAATCAAGACTTGTGTTGGCTCCCTGCTCATTCGTCTCATTTCCCTTGCAAAGTCGTGACCCACCCTCTGCACTGCCTTACTATGAGTACAACCCTGAATACAGTAATAGATTGTAAACAAAAAAAATAGAGATAGGTGATATGCTGATGTTATTGTTACTGTGATCAACATCATAATACATTTTTCTAAATGTATAGCAGAGGTTTGCACAGGCATGAAATTGAAGCCTGAACCCAACCGATCTTGTGAATTTGCAACCTGACTACGCCAAAAACATACTGTTAAATTTAAAACCTGACCTGATCCTGCACGCATGCACTAATGGAGAGGGATTATAGCAGACATGGTTTTACGGTGATCTGCTTTGCTACTAAGCACTAAGCACGAGCACATCATACCTGGCAGAGAACAGCATCCACCTTCCTCTGCTGTATTAAAGTTCCTCATACTACTGCTGCTACTTGCAGAAATGATTAACACACTTGCAAGAGTTATGACTGTTCCATCAACCCAACTGATGTACTGATGTACTGCAGAGCTTCATCCCAAGTTTCATTCAGGGGCACATTCACCCACTCTGGCACTATTCCTTACACAGCTATAGACCATAACATTACAACACAGAGTGAGCGAGAGAGAGAAAGAGAGAGTGAGAGAGAGCAAGAAAAAGAGAGAGATGTGAAGAGACTCAAGGGAAGGCCTGAAGAACATGTGTCTGAAATCAGACAGACAGCTGTTTGGAA